TCTGAAGGTTTGCCAAGTGTCTGGAGATGCACGTTTATCTGCCCGATTGAGGCCTGGGAATAATAAATAACATCTTTAGTCTGGCTTTCTCTTTGAGTGCAGAAATTCTGTCCAAATGCCAAAACCTGGCTGTGGCACTGGTCTTGAATCTCAGTGCTTCTGGCAGCCCACCCTGGGCAGCACAACGGCATGTCAGCCCCCCAGCAGAAGTGTCACTATGAGCAGATAGGAGGTAGAGTTTAAGAGCAAAGGAGCACAGTTTTTAAGGACACAAACACTGAGAGGGCTGCAGGGTGGCAAAGGGGACTCTCCCCGGTGCCTCCCCGATGGCAAACAGACCCCCTCACACCTTCAGTTTAGAGATCAAGCCATGGGTGACTTTAGAAGGAACAGAAGGAAGATTAAAAAGCAAAGCTAAGCACAGGGCGTTTCTGTGGCGGCGATGCTGCGTGAAGCGAGAACAAAGGGCCCCGTCTCTCCAGCAACGCAAGGAGCCCTCTAGAGGCAGCTGCAGCGAAAGCCATCCCTACCGTGGTGGCAGGACATGGGGAGCCCAGCTTCAAGCCTCTGTGCCCTTCTCGCTGTGCAGCCTGTGCCCTCTCAGCCCCTGTTCCCCGCATCCCTCCGTCTGGCCCCTTCTGAGTCCCCGCATGCTGGAGACGTGCTGAGGGACAGGGAGCAGCCAAGTGTGCAGGCTGCAGGTCTTTATTAAGCTGCTTACAAAATAGTTGCATACCACCCTCTGGTCCATTATATCCAGGCAGTCCTCACCCTTCCTGGCATTTCCTTAAAGGCCGTGACATGGCAAGGACAGAGGAAAGGCTTCTCCCACTCACGCAGTGATTATCCGTGGCCTCTCACACTGCTTATGGTGAGGCCCATGGCCGTGCACCTCAGCACTGCTCCCGGGGTGTCTGACCGGGGCACCTGGTGACATTTGCTGGACCCATCACCCAGAAGTGCTGGAGCAGCAGTGATGACTTGCTTCTCATCTGCCTGAAATGGAGTTAGAGTGGCCTCGAGCGCAGCCTCTCAGAGGCGGCTGCCGTGACTGCCTGCTCTTTCTGTTTCACTGTTCATGCTTCACTTTCAAGGACTTGGGAGTTATTAAAAGCTGCAATTTGCTGTATAAGAGAAGTTACTCACGCTTTAAAGAAAACAAAACAAACAAACAAACAAAAAAAAGCCAACCCTCCAAGCACTTTTGTGCACCTATCTTAAAAAGAGAGCACAAAATCTTTCTTAAACTTTGCTGGGAAATATGCTGTGTTCTGGTTAGATAGGTTCACAGATATACAGAGGAGTCTTGCACCTCTTGCACCCCTTCTCTTTCCTCCTCAAAACTCTAGATGTTGGCTACCTGTCTATTACTAATCCACCATTTCTCCCTGGGGAGAAACTTTCCTTTTACTCTCTGTTTCCCGAAAGCAACCACTCTGTGAGCTCAGTAACAAGGGACTTAAGCCCTCTGTGACAATGTTTGCTGTTGAATGCTTGTGCTCCAGTGGTCCACAAGATAGATACATCAGCTAAATGGCCTCAGCAACCCAGCAACTTATCAGCTAGAACAGCTAGGTCTGGCATTTCTCACCTTTGTGCTTTTCTTGACTAAATCTTAATTAACAACCTACTAAAAATCCAGATTTTAATTAAGAGATTGATAATTTATAACATAATCAATTTCTCTCAAACATCTATCTCAGATAAAGAAAAAAATAAAGAAGGAAAAGCTACAATGTGTTTTAAAAAAGCACCTACAAATCTCTCAGGATATTTATGGGGTGATATGGAAATGGCGTGCATATTTCTTTTCTTTGGACTTCAATTTACTGTGCACATTATTTTTAAAGGTGTGATGTCTGCTTTGATTCAGGCTTCAACATGTTTACCAATCCTCACCTGACTGCTTTTGGAAGTAATACAGGAAGGTATTTTGATTTTTTTTTTCCCTGTCCAAATGGGAGCAAATATTAGGTGCATATGTTTAAAAAAAAAAAAAAAAAAGAAAAGCAAATATATACTTCTATTTAATCTCCTTATATTTGTTTTGGTAAACTGATAAGACTTCTAGAATCAGCATTTGTATGTGAGATAAGGCTTGATGCTTGGGCAGATACGTTAGCAAGGCAAGGGAAGGAATATTTATTTTTGTAAGTCTGTGACAGAATTCCTGTAAATCTAAAACAGTTGCATATCTTTTATAAAATGTTAGTGCTGTGTAAGCAACAGTCCACATATTTCATCTACTTGTTATATTGTTGGTCTCCTATGAGCTAAAATCCCCCACTGCTCTAAGTAGTAGTAACAGCAATTTCTGTCCCACTAGTATCAGATCCCTAAATACTTGTAATGCAGGCTAGTCCTAAAGTGAATAACACAAAAAACATCTTAAGACAACCAAAAATTTGCTTATTACTCCTGACTGTCAGGCAACAGAATCCTAAAGATTAAAGAATTTGCTTTTTGTTGGGCCTACGACTAGAAAACAATATATTGTTTCTATTTGTTCAAAGTTCTTCTTTGAGAACTCGACCTGAGGTTGAATACACAGCTGTATCATAAGCCTTTGACATCCAGACCATCAGGAGGGAAGGAACATGGCTCGGAAGGTGCCATTATCTTATTTTGGAAGCACCCTGGCATTTTAGCCTGTCTTTAGGTTCAATTTTACAGTGTTAAGTAGTTTTTGTCCTTCCTCTTTGGAATTAGAGAAAGGTTAAGGTTGAATGCCTTTCTTTTTGGCCTATAAGGTGGAAATCCTTTGGGACTTGGAGAGAATTTTGCCTTTGTTGTGACTGTCTAATTAGTGCCGAGGTTTTGCTGCTTTTGTCTGAATTTCAGATATCAGTAGATGGGCTTTGAGTGTTCCCTCTCTGGGAACCTCCCCCATTGTGTGACCACCTACACTGTAAAAATGTTTTTCTTACACTGCGACAAAATTTCCCATGTTTTGACATACATCTATTGTCTCTTGTCCCTCCAATGTGCATTTCCACGTCTGGTTCAGTTTTTGCACAAGGCAGGCCTCCCATTCAACTTCTCTCCTCCTGGCTGATCTCTCTCACTTATCTCATTCTATCCTCATATTTAATGTGTGCCATTTTCTTGGTATCCCTCTGCTAAACTTGCTCCAGCGCATCAACACCCTTCTTGTAGAGGGGAGGCCAAAGCTGGACACAGCACTCCAGATGCGGTCTCACAAGTGCAAAATAGAGGGGAAATTATCACCTCATTCTTGCTAACACAGTCCAGGCTGCCATGGGCCTTCCTTCCTGTAAGGATTCATTGCTGGCTCTTGGTCAGTTTGATGTCCTGCAAGATCCCTAGGCCTTGTCTGCAAAGCTGCTTTCCAGCCACTTGGACCTCAGCCTGTTCTGTGCATGGGATTGTGCCTCACCAGGGCAGGGCTTGGTATTTCCTTTTGTTGAACTTCATGAGGTTCATCTCGAGCCATTTGTCCAACCTGTTCTCCAGTATATTGACTGTTTTCTTGCTTTGGTATCACCTGAAAACTTGTAGAAAGCACACTCATTCCTCTCATCCTCTCCCTTAGAAAAGACTCTCAACAGCACTGTGCCCATTATGGATCTCTGAGGAACTGTGGGGATACATGGCCCCCATTTGGACTTTGTTCACATTATCAGCACCCTTGGAGCCTGAAAGTTCAAATGTTTTCCACTCAATTTATTGTCTCCCTCTTTCAATCCATCTCTCACCAACTTCATTATAAATTCTATTTCCAGAGGAAGATATGGAATAATCTGTAACTTATAATAACCACTTGAGTTCTTACCAAAACATTTTTATCAGCTTAAACATTATGTAAATATATAAGTTGCTGTGGAATCTTATGCCGAAGACTTCTTCTGTGGAATGTGAAATTGCTGCTGGTGTGCCAGCAACTAGTGCAAAAATCAAGAATACTGTGAGATGGAGGGCAGCTTGGATAGAGTGGGTGCTGGAAGAAAACTTACATAATGCTATGTCAGACTGAAGTTTGATTTAGTAATTTTAAAAACATTAAGCTCATTCAGCAGATAATGAGACTGTGGGCTAATCTCTAGATGTCAAGCTATCACTGTGATTTGAGATACAACTGCCAAAAATGTATAAACAGTGTTGTTAGTGTCTTTAGTAAGTTTGTAGATAATGCCCTGCAGTGTACATGCATTATTTCTTAGTTCTTGGAGATGCAAGATTTTTTTTTAATTTAATTTGATTTGTAGTAATTAGTTTGATGCTTACTGTTCTGTACATAGCTGTTGTAAATTTCTCTCCTCAGTAAGCTGAAAGAAAGGATCACAGAAATCAATTGATACTATGGAAAATTATAGAAATTAAAGATTGCAAAATTATCAATTAAAGTTCTTTATAATAAATTTCTTCCAGAATATTTCAGAATTATTTTTAATATCCCTTGTGTTATTGCATCTATGTATTATATATAGAAGAAACACTTTCAGAGAAGGGACTTGTGATTTTAAGTGCCACTATTTTAGTTGCTAAAGTGGAAGCATTTTCCTGGAGGCTGGTCATCTGAAGGTGATACTTGTCGCTTTCTAACAACTCTTTGCATTCTCTGATTTCACAAACATTTTGAAAATGGGGGTTTTGTAACTCTTCTGGTTCGTACAGTGCCATCTACTCAGATCATAAGTAGGGCTGTTATCTTATTTCTATCTATTATGCGTCTGCGGTGGTGCTGAGGACGTTTGGTAAACAAGCATTTGACTTTCACGTTGGCTGTAGTAATGCCAGAATACCAGGCATTGAAGAAGCCAGGCTCTGAAATTTGAAGGTATTTCGGAGGATTTAAATGGGAATTAGGAGCCTGCCTTGCTCTGTGTTCTACAAACTGCTGAATCATAGCCTGAACCTCTGATTGACCACCTGAGGTGAGCCATGAGTCAGCCCTGGGAGCACAGGTGAGGGCAATTCATCTGTGCTGCTAGAAGAGGTGGAGCGTGGCTCAAGCTCTCCTAGACCTATTTAAGAGCTGATCACCAGTAGGGGAGGGTCTGTTTTTGGAGATCTCTCCTTTGGAGTTTTACAGCAAGCACAGGATACGGGTAAGTGCTCTATCTGTTATCTTTTGGTGTAATAACCTGCTTAGCCAAACTCTCTGATATATTTCATAATTATAGCATTGATTATACAAGGGTAAACTGCTCCAGATCCTCTAAAGCTTACTATGCTGTGCAAATGGCCCAGTGGCTCAGGTTCCCAGATTGCTCAGCTTTGAAAGACCACAGTGTATTGCAGCCTTGCTTACCCACCTGTATCTTCCTTGAAACAGTGTAGGGACTGTTGTGTGCACACCTTCTGTCTCAGCATGCAGCTGGGACTCAAGATTCACGAAAGCATCATTGACAGCGTGCATTGCCACTAGTAAGAAGTGGATGAACAAAAATATTTGGAAAGACTGGAGGAAGCTGAGAAACTTGTGAAGAACAGGAAAGGCACTCAGAAGAAAAGAGAAACCTATGAAGATGGTCAGAGAGACCTTTTCAAATTTCAGAGACCTATTCCTGTCTGACTGTGCAGATAGACATTAATTTTCTGCAGTGGAAAAATTAGTGCAATAGCAGACCAAAAACCTAAATATAGCTGCTTCTACACTTAGTTACTGTGTAATGCAGTTTGCTGATGGTTGCCAGAGAAACCCATTTATGCTGTTGAACAAAGTTGTGCTGTCCCTGCTTTATCCTCTCCCACATAATGAACTTTTAAAAAAAGTGAAGGTTTAGTACAGAATTGAACTACTGGGAATGTGCTGCATGCAGAAGCAGTAAGTGTTTGGATGTCAACTGCGTGCATGTACTTTTCCATTGTGGAGCGTGGCATAATTGTTCAAGGTATCTTTCTATAGTGCTTGAGAAAGGCAGTGTTGTTAGCACTGTCTGAGCTCTTCTATCAAGACACGCGCTCAGGTATGGAGGTGGATGAGATGTACTTTCACAACACTCTTGGCAGAACTTTCACCCATCTCTTAAATTTGAACTTTTTAAAAGTTATGGGATGTTTAACTTGATGACGAGTGATGGCATCAGTAGGCAAAGGAAGGACAACTGATATTGTCTACCTGGATTTGTGCAAGGCCTGTGATGTGGCCCATAACATGTCCTTATCTCTAAATTAGTAAGATATGGATTTGAAGGCTGGACTATTCAATGGATAAAGAAGTGGTTGGATAGTCATAGGCAGAGGGCAGTTGTCAATGGCTGTCTGTCCAGGTGGAGGCTGGTCACAGTCTCCCAGGTGTCTTATGATTGGTGTTCTTCAATGTCTTTATCAGTGATAAATGACAGGTATAGAGTGTATCCTCAGTAAGTTTGCTGATGACACCACTCTCAGTTGAAACGGTAGAAGAGAGAGTTGGTGCAGTTGAAACGATAGAAGAGAGAGGCATCATTCTGAGGGACCTGAACATGCTTGAAATGGGGGCTGATGAGGTTCAACAGGGCCAAGTGCAAAGTGTTGTGCTTGGGTTGAGGCTATTCCAGATATGGGAAGAGAACTCGCTGAGAGCAGCTTTGTGGAGAAGGACTTGAGTGTTCTGATGGACGAAAAGCTGAACATGAGCCAGCAGTGTGCTCTTACATCTGGGAGGAACAACTGTATCCTGGGCTGCATCAAAAGAGGGGTGGCCAGCTGGGAGAAGGAGATGATTGTGCCCTTCTACTCTGCCCTTGAGAGACTCCGTCTAGAATACTGTGACCAGCCTGGGGCCCATAGTGTGGGAAGGATGCAAAGCTGTTGGAGTGGGTCCAAAGATGATCAAATGGCTGGGGCACTTCTCCTATAAAGAAAGGCTGAGAGAGCTGGGCTTGTTCAGCCTGGAAAAGAGAGAGCTCCAGGGAGACCTCATTGCAGCCTTTCAGTACTTGAAGGGAACTTACAAGCAGGAGGGGGACCAACTTTTTACATGAACTCATAGTAATTAAACTAAAAGAGGGGAGATCCATGTAAATGTTAAGAAGAAATTTTTTACTCAGAAGATGGTGAGGCACTGGGACAGGTAGCCCAGAGAAGTTGTGGGTGCCCCATTTATGGAGGCATTCAAGGTCACGTTGGATGGGATCCTGGGCAACCTGATCTAGTGGTTGGCAATCCTGTCTATGGCAGTAGTGTTGGAACTAGATGATTTGCAAGCCATTCCAACCTAAGCCATTCTATGACTGCACACTTTTTCATGGTGTTGATCTCTCTGAAAGGACTGGAAGCAGACAGGCTGGGAACCTGAACTGAAAGCACTACCTATATCCTCCTATGTCCTTGGACTGACCCTCCTGAGTGCTGCAACCCAAACCTGACTGACAGAAGATCAAGACTGCAGTATCCATACTGAACTGTGGGTCCTGTGCATTAAGATTCAGTGTGATTGCCTAGAGCACAAGGGGAAACAGGCAGGAGTTCTGTAGCCTGGGTAGCAGATTAGTAGAATAGAACATAGAGCTACAAAATCATGAGTCTCAAACGTAGATGTGGAATAACTGTTCTCCTCTGGTACAAGGAGTAGGGTCCATAAATAATTCTGGTCTCCAGGTATCATCCAGGCCTCTTCCCTCACTACCACTTCTTGTCTGAAGGAACCATTCAAATGTATCTTCACTTTTAATGTGCTTGATTTCTGCTGAACTTATACATTGTGCAGTTACTTGGTCACTGAAACTAACCTCCAGTTTCTCATGCTGCTCCTTTCATGGAATGGATTTTCATGTTGGGTTGTGGACTGACATTTGTTATTCTTGGTCAAGATGAAGAGCAAAAACTCAGTCCTCTGGTACTTGCTCTCTGTAAAGCCCTCTAATTAACCCTGTGAAGTTCATGAAGGTCTTACAGTCTTTTAAGAAGCACATCCAGGATTTCCCTTGGGATTTCCCCTTTTAGTTCTGGAATTATCTCAGTTTTATTGTGTATTGATTAACCAAGGCATCAGTCTTATGAAAAAGCTTTCAGCAAAGCAATGAACAGGGAAGGAATTACACTGAATAGCAACAAGGCTTAAAGCATGGCTACTGAAAATAAGAAGTATTGATCTTGAGAAATATTGGCCCTATCTGGGGGACAGCAGAGCCACAGGGAAGAAAAAAAACAAGGGGCATGGTATCAGCTCGCAGCAGAAGCTTGTCTTTGAGATGGGAAAAGCCAAGTCAGAGGGGGGAGTGATGGTAAACCAGTGACAGCACTCATCTAGGGAGAAAACAAAACCAAACAAGATAAGGAAACACCATGCACACATGAAGCCAATCTGCTGAGCAGAGAGGGCAAAGTCACTTAAATGATTTGTGTGCTGCAGTTAATGAACACTCACAACTGGACAGGAGATCAATAGCAGTGACAATTAAATATTGAGTAGAAGGAAAATGATATGGAAATACCATGACCAGACTCCTAGAAACATGTGAATGTGAGGAAAGGAATTGGAAACAATATTTAGAGAGCTCAGTGCTTCAATTTTCTCTGCCCTGTAAACAGACATATTTCTTCCAAAAGGTATCTTTAAGCCTTTTTAAAATAGTCTCAGATGTTTTCCTTGCTACTGGTCAACTGCTTCCTATGATTTCTTTCCCAGAGCTCTCCCCAAGCCTCCCTGTATTGGTTGAAAACATAGAAATGTTGAAGAACACTTATTTTTCACACATTTTCTTTCTCGTGGAAGCAGTATTTTAAACCCGCATTTTGAGTGCTTGTTTCATACTCTTTTCTGCCTAAAATGCCATCTCACTTTTTCTTCATTTCTCCTTCATACTTTGACTTCTACTGGTACTTCATTAGAGTTGTCAGGCACTGCTGTAGCACTGATAATCATAATAGAGAGCAATGCACAATTCCAGGACATGTTCCAGTGTCCTTTTCACCTCAGCAAACGTGTGCAGGCAGGCAATGATACACTGAAATGATACACGTCTACTCCTAACTGCTGTGGTTGCCTAGCTTAAAAAAAAATCCTGCCTTCTTTGTGTTGTTGTCTCTCTGATTACTGTGGCTTTCATTATCGCATTTCTTTCATCAAGGCTTCCGAACTCAGTTGTTAATAGTACTTTCCTCCTAACTTTCTGGCTCTCATCTTTTGTGAACAGACAGTAGCTGTTCTCTTTCAATTTACAAAAGTACAAAAGGTTTCCATTGGCTTTCTGTGCTACCTACACACTTAGAAAACAGAGCAGGGAGGTGGGCTGCACGTGATCCATTAACAACCATTCCCCTTGCAAGAGCCTTTATAAAATAATAACAATAATAATTCCATGTGTGATGCTGACCACAAATAAATTTGCACTTCACAGCATCACCAAATTTTGATAGCAGGCTGAGACAGTCTCTTTTTGCAGCTGTACTTTCTCTTGCGGTCATTGGTTCAACTAGATTCAACCACAGCCAAGTTTCAGCAAGTGCTAGCCTAAGGGGCTGGTTTTAACAAGGGCTCTAATCCTGTTTTCTCAATGATGAGGTAAAATAGGAGCATATCTCAGGCTGGGGAGCCAGCAGTATACTTCTATATATGTGCCCCAGTGGAGGCAGAGCTCACCTTGCTGCCTTGGCCCTAGGATGGAGCCAATGCATGGCCCTGAGCAGTGCACATTGTCAGTGCAGCTAAAAATTTGATAGCCACAAAATGTGGGTATACACTAGTGGTAGTGTCAAGGGCTGGGAGATGAAGCCTGCTGGCAGAGGAATGGAGCAGGGAAATAAGGGATAGAGGAGAGGGTAATGGACTTAGCCACAAGAACACAAGGTTCCTGCAATGCTTAGGGTTCAAGCACTAGGGAAGACATAAGAAAGAATGTGGGTGCTGATCGCTGTTTTCAGTATCCTCCCACATAGCAACTGCTTCTATTGAGGCTTTCTATTGTGAAAGCACTTCTTTCACTGCAAACAAAGATGTAGCTCCTGGTGAGCCTTGGCTCCCAGCAGAGGAAAATACTATGCTTTGGTCAACAACAGGGAAAATGTCTTCATGCCTTTGCGTCACTGGTGTGCTGGAGCTGTTCTTCCCCATCACCTCAGCACAGGGGATGTCCATTACGTCCATGCCATCACGCTGGGGGTATGAGCCTTCACACCTCAG